CCATCGCTACTTGCGCGCTTTTTTGTCAGCGCTCATCGACTGAGATGTGTTGATATAGACAGAAATGCGGTATAATATTACATAACCGTCACTAACGGCCGAGAGAGTATATGCTGTTTTAGCACCACTAGTTTTATATAGATTTACCATTTAGTCCTCTGTGCGAAGAGGAAAGAAGCATTTTCCTTGTACATTTACAATTTTCAAAAACCCTCTTTTGAGTTACATATCAAACTGGAAAATTATACTGCAGTTTGATATAGCGATATTATTTTATTAACATTTTATCTGCTCCACCCTACAGATATTGCTGTAGAAAATCTGAAGATGGCACGCTACTATTAATTGATATTGTACTTAAACTATACTCTTATGTGTAAAATCGCAGAAAACTTAGGCCGCTTCTCTACTCCTTCTTTAAATAATGGTACTACAATGGCTCATACTGTCACGCATTTCTAAATTTGCAATTTTTGACAATTCGGAGAGTTCAACAAAAATGAGACGAGTACCATTCTTTTAAGCTTTATTCTTATTCTAAGTTTAATTTTTCTTTTGTGAAAAACATTTGTAAAAAAAAATTGGAATACTTTTTGAGAAAATGTTTCTTTTTATTCAAAGTGGATAAATTCCAAGCACAAATTTCACAAAACTAATTGTTTTTTGTTTTTCAAAAAAATATACCTATACAATTATACACCTTTTTTAAAGAGCTGATTTTTATTTTCTCACGCTTACGAATGTAAGAACAGAAATAATTGTATTCGTGAGCCAAAAACCAGCGAATTTTCACCGAAAAACTTAATTGTCGGGCCCGGGTAACGAAAAAATGGATACAGAAAATTACTTCATCTAATACGTGGTGTTTCCTGAATCCATGTTTAGTAGGTCTTTGATACCGGAAAATCAATTGATTGTAAAACGTTGTCAATGTTAAACCGTTCAGTCGACTTTCTCCAAAATTGATTTTCTCAGATCGATTTAAATGAACTCATCTCTCTCTAAGTTTGAAATATAGTATATTTGGAAGGTATACTGTATATGAAGCCTCAACAGCGTCAGAATGTATGGCTCCAAATTGTTTGATTAAACTTCGTTCTCATAATAGCATAAAGGACGATTAAAAGAATGGCGCAGACCTCATTTTCGTTAAAATCTCTAATTTTTTGAAACTTGCAAACGTTCAAATTTATTTCGGCATTCTACAAGTACAATATTGAAGATGGAGATTTTTTTCTTAATGAAATTTGGTCGACAGATTTTGAAATTGGGTCATGTACAATATTTCGAAAATATGATTTGTTTTCGCCTAATTTTGCCTGAAATGTATGAAATTTTTTATATTTTGTACAATTTTTTTCCTCAAAAACGGCACCGATTTTTTCTTTATAATTTCTCATATGTATCAAACGACTGTAACAAGTGGTGCTAGTCCGATTTCCGTTTTGTATACAAAATTCGAGTTTTCTGACACACGATTACCATATTTCTCTTCTTATGCAGTAAGTGGGAAATAATAAAAATTACACTTGGAAATCGGTATTTGTTCATTTGCTTTAGTTTCGGTTGCAAATATTCCCGAATACATTATGCAGATAAATATCTCTTTCAATTATGAGCCAGTGTGTACTGGAACCATTGCATTTTAGTTTGTAAATCTACAATAATCTATCGCTTAGTAATTCACCAAACTGTAAATGTTTAAAAACTCGAAAATTGGTGCGCCGCTAACTCAAAAATGGTCGCCACTTGTGAACCACGTACAATACATTTTTTGTTTGTCTACCAGCATTATAAACGACCTTTTCTGTTGCAAGAAATCGTTCATAATCTGACAATTTACGGCACAAATGATGACATATTAGATATTATGGCACGAATAGTTGCGTGGAGACACGATTGAATTGAGTTGAATTGAATTGAATTTGCCTTATTTTACGTGTCGAGACGATCAGCCAATCGCAGCGAGAGAATCGAGGGGAGGAAAAGGTAAACGGAGCAGCCAACCACCGTTGTCTCGCAAGTACCCGAGACGCCACAAGAAAGTTGTTTCGCAAAATTAAGATTTGATTAAATTGTGAATAGCGTGAATTTACATACAAAGTATGATTATTTTGTAAGATGGTGATACGACCAATTTATTTAATTCTGGATTACTTAAAATTGAATGACCATAAAGTTTGTTCTCAGACAATTTTGTTAATCTCTGACTTACGGCACTTGGTTGGAGAGCACAGAAATCGAGAACCTTCTGCCGCAAAAATGTTGGCTTCAACTGCAGACACGTAATCGTCTGTGGTCACAGCGGCCTGTGGCCTGAACGGGATTTGTCATGCACTCGTTCAAGTCCGTCCTTAAGCCTCGGCGGCCGATTTCTGCACTTGTCCTTCGCTCATCACTCACAACCTCACGTGAATGTCCGCTGCCGACTGCATCTCGCACGCGGCGCGCAATTTAAGAATCGTACATTTTTCTCACAGAAAAGCACAGGTTGGCTAGGAGCTGTAACTGGCATGAAAATATTCATATGGAATTCTGGAGAGCGTTGCACTCGCTCGTTGCGGCGGCGTCCAGGCGAACAACAGTTGACGAATGAACGACTCGTACTTAAAAACGACTTTCGTATTATGGAAGACAAATTTAACAAATAAAAAACAATATTTTAAAATTTAAAGTTTAAGATAACAATTCCACTTGTACAAAACATACATTTTTAACCAGGTGTGGGGGGAAAATCAAAATTCGTGGGTGTGGAGGTATAACGGTTGGCGTAATGGCTGTTGTACAAGTTTGCGGGTTCAACTCCTATCGAAGCCGTAGATTTTAAAGGGCAAACAAATTCTTAGAACAACTTCCTTCGCAGGGGAAGTAAATCCGGCTGTCCCATGTAGATTTATTACATGTAAAAGAACCTCAAGCGTAAAAGAAGCCTCTGGGCTAAATCAAAATCGCCTGTTTCGTCGCCCGAGTATTACCTTCTCTGCTAGATGGTGAAAGGAGCGTAGCTAAATTTGCGTGGTCAGACGGAGGAGCGGGCCTGAGCTGCCCCAAGTTTCGCCACGTAAAATAAGACATTTACTACAAATTGTTTCCAGCAAGAAATTAGCATTTCCTTATTCCACGTTTAGGATCAGTGAGTGACTAATGAATTATTGAAAGCTAATGGAATCCAGTTGCAGATGGTACTTGCATTTCTTTATATTGGACTCACTCTAGGCGTTGAAGGCTCACAAAACGTGCGCGAACTGCCCAGGTGCGCACGAAATTCTGCATTTTATTTGCTGCTGGAGAGCAGCCGAGCATTCCTCCAGCATTTTGCAGGACCGCTGGCGCTCACCCCGCTCAAGACAAGAAACGCGCGTCTCTCTGGTGTAACTCGAGATCTGTTCAGTTTGTATTTAAACCTACATTGACATTAAATCGTTTATGTAAATTGCAATAAATGTATCTTTAAGAGTTGCGGAACATTGGAAGATTTGACAATAAATAGCCCCCTTCACAGGGCACCAACTCAGTAGCGCTTCCGACAGCACCAACTCAGTTCCGCTTCCGATTGCTACCAAAACATTGGTTTAAATAGAGGTATTCGCTCGAGAAAGAAATGAAATTAAAAAAGTGAAATAAAATTAAAAGTATACATTTATTATAATACGTTATTTACCATTTCCTCATTAAGTTATGCAATGCTGAGGGAAAAAGACGAAAAATTAACAGCTGCCCTAGTAACGACAAAGTGGACAAATCTAATTGCTCAGTTAAGAAAAAAAAAATTATGACACGTGGGGTATCCAGAATCTATGTTTTGAGGATCCTTGATATTGAAATATCGATAGACGGAAAATGTGTCAGTCTGTGAACAACGCTAGCGACAACCGTTCATCCGATTTTCTTCAAAATTGGCATTCCCCTATCAATCTGAGTGATGTCGCAGCTCCTTGCATTTGAAACCGAAATTTTAATTTTGACGGGTACCCGCCACGTTCCAATTCCCGTCCCTGCCCCCATCCCCGTCCCTATGCCCACCCGTCCCCATTACTGGCTTACTGTTCACAAGACCAAGGAAGGTCTATAGGTGCTAGAAGCAAGCATGCAAATCTGCATATGTGCATGTACAGATGCACATACACATGTGCAAATTTTGTCGTGCTTTTCAATGTTTTTCTTCATTCATAGAACGTTCAGATGCTCATACATCTATTTATAAACCAGTGTAGTGGATTTCTGAAATAAATATAGTATAAAATCCTTTTACTGCTCTTATGATAAGAAACTAGTACTTACGTTCACGGTCTATGAACATAAAGTTGAAAGTGTTATTTTGTAGTACTCCTAACGCAAATGAGTCATGGCCATTTAAACCAATGAGTACTACAAAGTAAATAAAATATTGGAGGTGACATCAAACAACATGGATGCTCTCACGGATTGATCGCACGGAGGGATCCCATGATTATTTTCTTGTAAGTTTCCAAGAATTAAAGAATTAATGCTAAAAATTCAAGTATGTGTCTTGTGACTTTTGCTTACTCATTTCAAAATGTCAGAATCTGCTCCTATCAACGACTCATCTGTCAACATTTCGTTCACATGCTAAAGACGTATTTTCTGTACTAGTTATGAAGATGTGCTAGGTACATGGTGTCACAGCCCGTGAAAACGTCGTTCTGTGTAAATTCACATTTGTGTACCATTGTGTATTGAAGAGCAACATTTCTGAAAATCTGTCCCATTATAATATTGTGAGTGAGTAAAATTTTAATTTTAAAAATTCAGAAAACTTATGATAATGTTATGCGGAATACTTCAAAATAATCTGATATGCAGATTTTAAGAGGGGTTTTTGTTTGGGACAATTGTTTAAATTGGCAAAAATGAGATGATCTTTTTTTTTCCCTTGTGCAATATTTCTCTTTGTTGTTCTTTGCCGTTTTTAGTTGTTGTTTTACTTGTAAAATTAAGTATTTAAAATGGTGATTCTTGAGATTGCCTTTTCTTTTTAGCAGCACCACCAGTTTTATTCAATCCAGTTGCTGGTCTGCCACAAGATTCCGGAGGTTCACAGGATAGTATGCAAGGTAAGAAATTTTGTCCTTCTTAACATGGCATGGCATTTTGAATAAGGTACATGCAGAAAGGAGTATATAAACTTAAAGAAAAATTATAATAACAATAATTGTAGAGAGATGACATGTGTAATTTTTTTTCTTTCTTTCTTGTTTGGAATATGTGTTTAGTCTGTTAAAGCTCTTCAATCTGTATGTTCCTTGGTTGAAATGCCAGACACAATGACATACTTGTGTACTGTTGTGAAGAGATAATTTCTTTCACTCTGGCAACGGGAGCTCTAACAAAAAGTTACATCAAGTGGGCTGCACTCCTTCCTACATATGTCTGCTCTTGATTATTTTCCAGAATAAAAGTTGTTGTCCCATGAATAAAAACTCAGAAATTGATTTGTGGATTTATCTTCATCTTTCATAGTTATTCATGTGGGTCCAATTTATCTTTTATCAATTCATTACCTGTAATTTTCATACCTGAAGAGAAGAAAAGTCATCATCTTCAACGAACTGTGCAACTTTTTATTTGTTAGCTCAAAAAGCGAATTTTTGCCATTAAAGTACGTAAATGACAAAAAATAATTGAGGAAGTAGAAGAAAGAATAGGTTTATTATTTCAATCATTTTCAAAAGACAATTCAAAGCGATTAATTGAAAATAAACATTTAACCATTTCTTTTTATGATCTACCATTTTTACCAAAGATGGGGAGAAGGTAACTGAAGTTCATTGTTGCAGGATTGTTGGCCCTAAACATTCAGATAGACAGTATGCTGATTGGTAGGCACACGTTGGTTCCAACAGAGGTGCGAAGCAGGTCACAACACAGAGTACAGAAGAGATGTGTAATATGCTACGCAAACTATAGGAAGTACATGTCCAGTAATGAGGCAGCGAAGAGAGCGAAAAGGATTTCCACTTATTGTTCTGCTTGTCCGTCTAATCCTTTTATGTGCTCCGGTTGTTTTAAGGAAGCCCATAATTCTACTTAGATTCAAGCTTAATTTGTTACCTAATTTTCAGAATTGAAAATTCATTATTGATTTCAGTTATGATGCTTCTCGAAAATAACTAAATTTTATGAAGTTCGTTAAGATAAAATGTATACATGATTTAACTATTAGATGTGAAAACAGAAGAATTTAGTAACTGTGATATAATGTTCGCCAGATCATGTATACACTTCAGTATGTTTTGATAAAATATTGAATTTATCGTCAGCATTCAGTTTCGAACTGGTGACAAAGTTTTTATTGGAAAGACTCATCATTACAATGGTACGTTTGAAATATTTTTTTCTTTATAACAGTCCAGTAAATGTAAAATCATTTAGCTTGTAAAAATTCAAAATAGAAAATCCTCTTAGTTGCCATAACTACTAATTTGTCACAAAGGATGTGAAAATAAAGATTATATTTAGAGAAATTGCTCTGTGATTTGTTTGTTAAGGAAAATCCTGGTCCTTACAAATTTACGTTAATGCAGCACTTGTGAATTATCCGAGTTGTCATTTGGATTTTAAAGAATACAATTTTCATATTATTTCATTCGAGTGAGCCTTGTAATTTTGATTAGTACAGATGAAATTTTTAGAACATTTGCGAAAACTGACAGAAGTCTCTCTTGAAGTTAAATCATCTGGTATATATTTATTTTGTAGGAACATACTTGCCAAGTAGGTTTTATCCTTTCTTTTCTCTCCCTGTCCTGAAGTGCAGTTTCACATAAGTACTTAGCAAATTGATAAAATTTGGAAAAGAGAATGATGTCAAATAACTGAATTAATGATAGTATGGGAATTTACTTGTTTGAAGCAAAATATACCAGTGGCCTTCATTCTAGATTAAATATGTCCCCTGTATTATTTGTGCAGAATATTTTATAACAAGTAATTGGAAAATATTTACTAACCATTACGACTTTGTGATTTCTTGATACCATTGCATCCCTTATTCTTACAACTCTGCTTACAATATTTCTTGTGTTCTGTTTTTATTTTATTTTTACCACCTAAGAAAGTTGGATGTATGTTTACGTTCTTATGGATTTTAAACTAGTCTCTTTCATCAAAGAAGCTTGGCAGTTGTGAAAATATTTTCAGAGATGTGTTGCTGTTGTTTCTTTAATTGTCATTTTTGTAAGCAGAATATAAAAATAATATTAGGTATTTTGCATTCTGCTTTAATGTTCTCTGATTTGAGTCATTATCAAGTTCATCAATTATTTTTTTGGTTTTCAAGGTTTTTACCCAAGCTGGGTTTCCTATTCATTATTGAAATTGACAAAATACTGTATGTTTCAAATCTAAATCTATTTAGTCTGGAACGTTGATATTTCCTGAACTGTCAAGATTAAATTTTGTAGAGAGAGACTTGTGAAGTTGAAGATGGGCTGTAGTATTATTGCCTATCTTGGTGGTCTTGCTGTGAAGGACTCCTGTCAGTTACTCGGGACGCTTGTTGCAGGGCTGTCCTTGTCTGAGCGTAAGATCATGCGGGTCGGTCACCACGAGTTGCATCTCACAGCTTTGCGTGGCCGCAACAATTCCAGATTGCGCAGACGATGTGTTCCTTGCTATGACATGAATCGTAGATTTTTGGGGAATCATGGAGCGAACTTGAGAACTGCAAAAGTGTCAACGTTTTGTGCAACATGTCACCAAGCTCCTTTCATGTGTGTGACTTGTTTCAAAATTCACGTTACTGGCACTCATCTAAGTGTACTGCCATAGAAAACGTAGCTTTTTGTTAGTGTGCTCTCTTGAGGTTATCAAGGCAATTGTGCTCTTTTGGGAAAAGAAAAATACTGGTCAACTTTTATAGCTCTATGCAACTTTTATTGCTAATTATTTTTAAGAGACAGTTTAAAGTATGTCATTGTGTGTGCATGTCTGTCTATAAGTTATAGAAAACTTTTATATATAACTAATGTTCTATCTGTGAAGGATGAGGGAAATCATAAATAAATTATGAATATATTTACTTTTACTTAATGAAAGAAAATTAATTTAAGGACCAAATAAATTTTGTGTGACAATTTTTATTTTATACCTAACATGTAAATACTGTGAAGTGCATTGTGAAAATGCATTTGAGGGAGGATATGGTTGTGCAATCTTCATAATCAGACTGTAAATTAAATGTATATGTGAAATTTTATGTTGATTTTTTTGAAGTCCTGTCCTCAGTGTTGGATATATGTAACTTGTGAAGTTTTTACTTCTTAAAATAAGTTGTTTGTTGTTGGTTTTTTTGTTGTTAATTTTTATGCATATATACGTCGCATGTCTTTACATAACTTTAACTGACATGAATGGAAGCAGAAGACTGCATCATATGATTCCATTTAGATCAAGGTAAGTTGATCATACAGATTTTTAGTTTCGTCTGAAAAGTGAATCTCTTCATTATCAGTCTTGATATTCAACTTATCTTCATTCTGTACTTACATGCTTGTCTCTGAGTAACAAACCTTACTTTTTCAGTCAAGTATCCCACCTGTGATAAGCGACTACAGACTTAGAATGTTCTGGTAAAATGTCTGCTTGCAGGTAGCTACAATGGCAACAGTGATGACGCTGTGTGCCCGCTGTGTGGGAAAATTCTTCGCAAAACAAGTTTGAAAAGACACATTACAGATAGACATAACCCTGGCCAGTATGTTCCTTGTAAAATCTGTGGTAAATTTTTCAAAACGCCCAACAGCCTTGGGACCCACATGAACGTCTTTCACAAAGAAATGAAACATATTGAAAAGAACTCCCAGTTGTGTTAAATGTAGATAAAGTAACAGATTCATGATACTTTATGCATATTTTTATTAAAACTTTTTCACAGTTACAGTTATACATTGGAATGAGTGAGAATTGGGCAGTACTAGAGTAGTATGTGTGAATTTTTTGTGTGAACTAAAATCCTGCAGAGTACAGGCTATAGAGAAGCAACTTATCCTGCTAGCTATGTGTCCTTAAATTTTCTAGTCTTTATTTTCAGACTTTTTATAGTGCGTTGAGAAATACTGCCCTAAAACAATAGTCTGCAGTTTGTGGACACCAGATTTTGAACAGTTTTAACTATTTAATGAAGTACTATAGATGACTTTTAAATTTATTTTTTGAAGAAAAGGATTGACCTCACATTCCATACTTCTAGAAAATTAGATGTGTGTATTGTGCAAGTACATAACTGGTTACTATATTCTAATATTTGGTATCAGGTGGTAGAATTTCACATTCTACACAATTAACTTTGCAGAACACGATTTCATGGGAGGTTTGAAACCTAGCATGGAATTTTTTATGGTGGTACGTGGCTTAAAAGTCTCAGTATTAATGTGTGATATTGACTTGGTCTAATGAATTAAGATAAAAGTTCTTGAAGATACGTATTTAAAAAATTTAGATATATTCATAAAAAAATCACTGCATTCTTTTAGTCTTTCTTTTCCTTTTTTAACAAGTTGTATTTGTGGTGATTATGGAGACAATCGCTTAGATAATTGAATTAAAATTTTGTTAATAGTGTTTGATCATAATGTATTATTAATACATGCAGTATTATCAGGCCTTAGAATAGTTGATTGTGTGTGTGTGTATGTGTGTGTGTGTGTGTGTGTTTTGGCAAAATAATAAATTTGTTTTGGATAGTGGAAATATATCTCATTGGTATGTGCTTATTGCTTTCTGAGGCAACTGTGACTTTCTGTGACTCTGGAAAGTAAATTATGCCTAACTTCTTCTAGCAAAGCAAAAATTATTTTGTAGCCTGTTGTTGAATTTGGAATTGGGATGTAGATGTTAATAGTATATTAAAATTAATCTGCCAATTAAAAGGTTTTTGTTTTCGTTAAAACATTTGGAAGCATTTATTGTGTAAATTAGTGATTTTTTTAAAAATTAATTTGAATGCATACATACAAAATCGTTGAAAGAAGTTAAAAAAATTGTTTAACTCTTCAATGCTCCACTTTTTATTTCTAAAAGAATGCACCTTATTTTGTTCTCTTAGTCTTGAATGGACAAGTTATGAAGATTTCAAAATTAAATTATGATATTTAATTACCTTTACTTAATTTTATATTAAGTTTTTCTGATAGATAATATATTTCAAGAAAAGTTTATGCAATACTTCATTGTATGAAATTAAATTTAATATAAGATGTTGTGGAAAATTCTTGAAATATTTTAGTTTGTGATATTTTAATGTTGTCAGAAAACATGAAATCACTTTATTGAGAATGTTGGATACCTAATACAAAACATTCACGGTTCTGTATGAAATATACATTATTATGCTCATTGTTTTTTTTTTGGGGGGGGGGGATATACAGCTCCAAGTTGAAGATTTTTGATTTCATGAAGTGACACAGATACAGCATCTTTTCACTTTCTTGCACTTCGTAAGAAGAGATGTATTCGGGAAAACTGGTTTTTGAAATAAATTGACTCTGTTCTAAACTAGTGCTACAACAGGACATAATTTCGGAGATTATTGGAAACAGTTACGTAATATTGCAATTTCTTTCTACTAACACCTCAGTTATAATTTTAAAAAGCCCAATTCAAACGAAGCCTCTAGGTGCATATTTGCATATATTTCGAGTCGGGAACAGTAGCCGTTATTTCTTATTTCTACAAATAAACATTAATAAGCCGATTCGGGTGGCCGAGATCGTTAAGGCAGTAGTGCCGTAACGATCTCGACCGAAGGATCGCGGTTTCGAGTCCCGCTTCGGACATGGTTGTATTTGTGATCGACCTTTCGCCCCCGTATCACCACCATACCATGTCATCTTCATACCATTAAATGCTCATGATCGCTAATGATGTAGATGTTAATACCACCTTATTTTTTTTAAAAGAATAAATGTAACTGTTACAGTATTTACAGAACATGATAGAGAAACGCAATAATAATTTCACGTACGCTTGCTTTGATTACGTGAAGTGAGCTTCCAAATTTTAAATTCGTAATCGGGCATTACGTGTGACGTAACGTTCGGGCCCAGGCCAAAGGGCCTGCTTTTGTTACGAAGGTTTTGCGATTGTAAGAATTGTGAGCGTAATGTTTTGGATTTTTTGTTTAGTAATTATAAATTGATGAATATTAAGTTATTGAAGGGTAGTTTTATTATTTAAGGTACTAACACTACCTGTTTTTGCTATACTCTTTTATAAAGGGGGCCCGATCGGTATCAATGAGAATAGTTCTGAGTTTCAAACCTACTTGTTGCCATTTTGCGAACTGGCAGCCCGTCAAAGCTTTGAGGAGAAATTCGAATTTTCAATTCTCAAAAATACAGTATGTTCGCGGAAAATGGGACAGCAACACTTTCTTTGCTGTTCTTTTCTACATACGAAGAAAACATTTGGAGCCATTTTTGGGGAAATTTCGAAAAAGTGCTAAGGGCTTAAAAGGTGTAAAAGTACTCCCACAATCAAAATATCCGTTTCAAATTCTTGGGGCCGCTTCCTCAGATCGAACGGCGAATATCAATTGGTGGAAGTTCGACGCCGGGGAGCCCCTCGTCCCTTCCGGGACAGCGGCAACTGACAGCGCCAGCCCAAGTGCTAAAAAAGTTGCTAGCCTAGTAAGCCAATCTGGTTGCCGACAGTGGCACACATGTTCAAATCCGCTAGCGTTGTTCACCGACAGACGTTTTGCCCACCGTCGGTTTTTCGGTATAAAGGTCACTCGAAACGTGGATTCTGGCTACTTACTATCATTATATCGTGTATACCGTTAGATGGATATTTCTGTCTACTTGACAGCTAGCGGCTGATACGGGAGAGGGGGTTCCTGTTTTTTAAGGAATTAGTATTTTTTGTGCAATTTATGCCAGAAATTATTGCAAATTATAAAAAATAAAAAAAAATGGTCGTTTTTTAAAAATGTTTCCCTCGGGTAAAACAATAGGTGCGTAAAACATAATGGTGCAGGTCTCATTTTCATTGAACTCAGAATTTTCGAAAATTTCCAGAGTTAGAAATGATGTGAGAAAGAAAGGATTTGTGAGTCAAATTGCTGTCAAGATGAATAAGAGGGTCCTAATAAAATAGAAAATTAATGGAATTAAAGGTGCTATTGCCATGGTGTATGAGTCACTTGTGGGTGAAAAACAGTAAATACATTCACATTTTATCCTAATGAACTTTTGGAATACCAGAAATTAATAGTTTTCTTAATTACTATAGTATTAATGAAATAATCAGATGGGTCTGTGATGTCTTGATTATGTGATCTAAATTGTAATTTTATGAAAAAAGTTGTTTTGAAATGAGATTAGAAATTGAGAGCATGTCTTACAAGCAGTGAGAGTGGAGAGAAATACACTCCAGACACCTTTAATTACACAGGTGCACACAAAAAAACGTCAGACTCAAAGACTTGTACATGTTTCTCTATGTATTCTGACTCACTAAAGCCAAAATTGCACCATCACCCACAAGTTTTTTTAAAATTGCAAACAACTGGAGGGTGGAGGCACAATTCTGGCTTGAAATTCGAATTCAGTGCATCGACATATGTATAGAGACATGTCAAGTCGTTAGGTCTGGGAACAATCCCCGAAAACAAAAAAATACTATGTAACGATTTCTTTTTTGTGATGAAAAAAATTGGAAGGTGGTGGCACAATTTTGGCTATAGAGAAACATGTGTCGAATCTGACAATTAATTTTGTGTGTGTCTGTGTCATCTACAAAAAATTGCTATTCTCTCTAGTACTCATTGAAGAGTGAGGGCCTGCTTGTGTGACCTGTCTGGGCATGTTATGGGTAAAGATTCTTGCCCTGGGTTTGTGTGATATCCCTTGATTTGTGAATCATTTTAAATTTTACACTTGAGCTAAAAAATTAGGGTGATAAGTGTGGCAGCAGCAATGTTTCAAGTCTTTGGTATTATCTACATGTTTGTAAAAATTGATATTTAAATTCATAAAAGTGTATTAGGGTAAATTATAAGTCTGAATGAATTTTTTAAGTAAGGAAGAAGGGATAAATACAGACAATAAATACATTTCAATGGGTAATTTCCATTTAATTATTCAGTTATTATTTCTTTAATGAATGTGGAACTTATTATGCTTCATTAATGGTTTCCTCTGTTAATGTCCAGTAATTTGTAATTTCATTTATTTGTTTGTTTCTATTTTCTGTTTGCTGTAGTTAAACAAAGAGACTTACATATTAGTGTGTGGCCACTTAACTTCGATATACATGTTACAAATGTTTTAATTTTTGTTAGACCAGAACATATCTCACTGTTTCTCGTAAATCTATATGGTTTTGAAATAGTTCTGATATAAGAATGTGAAATTCTATCTTTTTAAAAGTAATCATTAATGTGTGGTTAATTCTGAAGTGAGGTCTGTAAGAGTATTATCTTGAAATACAAGAAGTATTATGATTCATTGTAGACAATTATTGTAGACTTTTTTATGATAATGGCTTTTTGTACTGAATTGTATTTGAAGTTTCAGAATAAATGTTCTGAAACTCCTTCATAAGGGTTCATTTTTTCTCCTTTATTTCTGTTGGATGTTGAATGTGATAATTTTTAGAAATCAGTTTAATTACTTGAGTCTGTTGTCACAGAAAACTCAAATTTGCCAAAAACTTTGGATTATGAATGCACATTTGTTTTCAAATGGGTTTTGTATGCTTTGAATGTAAGATATACAACAATTCACTCATGAACAGAAGTTCATTTCTTGTGAATTATTTGAGCATTTGTATAACAATATATAATGAAGTGAACTTGGAATGCCAAGGTGAATTATGTTAAGTTTTTTCATAATGGAAGGAAACATGTTAGTGAAATTTGGTTGTGATGAAATGAGAAAAGTAATAATAAAATATGAGTGTAAATAAATAAAGAATGGTTCTGCACTAGCATAAATTTGAAAAGGATATTAGTTATTGGCAATGGAGATGTGCAAACATTGAAATTCAAGAGCTGCTGATGACATTTGTTCAGATAAGAATCCTAAAACAATTTCATGAAGGTTTAAAAACTTCAGACAATGCTGAATTTTGTGTGTTGTAAACATTTAAAAAAAAAAAAAATCCATTGCATTGGCAGTCTTAAAGTGCTGTAAATAGACTTTTGTGATTTTAGCATGATAGGGGAAAAAATGGGTAGAATTAACAAATGTGTTACAACAACAGCGGCAGATATTTGAAAAGAACAACTACTAAACTACTACATTGAAAATATGAATTGAATACAGTTAAATGACATTGATTGTTAATCAAATCTTAAGTGATAAATTACATTCATTTTGTACTCTACATATTTATTTTATTTAATTTCTAATGAATAGATTGTTACGCACATTGATCATACTGTAATTGGTTGTACGTAGGTAATTGTAATGAATTCAATAAATATTAATTTATTAATAAATAGTACTTTATTAGTAATTATATTTTTGTTAATATAAATTTATTAGAAAGTAGTATTAACATTAATTGTTAATTCAAAAGATTGTGTACTTCGTGGCAAGTTATGCATGTCCCAAAGAACAATCAAACAATAAAACTAATGGACTGATGACACAACGAAACTGATTTGAATTACGTTTAATTTATGTGACACATGAATTTACATTTTCTGTGGAAGTAATAGAAAAAATAGAAGCGGTAAGTCAGAATATAATTAAGTAATTATTTAAATACAATAGTATTTATGACAGAGTTACACACTTAAATTGAAGGTGTAATGTCAGAGATTCCAAAAATTTAGTTTTAACTAAAATTGTTACATCTTGTCTTATTTAATTTTTTTTTTTTTGAACACTTCATCAATAGAATTTTTTTGACATCTTTAAGGCTGAGAATACATGACAAATTTGTATGTACAGTGGGTAGTTGAAATTAATTAAGGTCAATTTAAATATAATTCATTTTCTTTACACTACTGGAGGCATCAAGTGACAAAACTTCATTTCATAAGATCATATTTACTTATTAAAAATATATGTTCCCTCTATAAATACTACCCTAAGGAAAGATGACAGTTATGTGAGAGTTATAAGAAATGAACATGGAACTTTGTAACTCCCCCAGCTCTATATTAAAGACATTTAAGGCAATAAATTAGAGGTGCTAAACGCAGCATGTACTTTCTCAGACTTAACAACAGTTATTTAATATTATAATACTGCAATTTCTGTCTATTTAACACATTTTAGTCATTGCTTGTATAACCTAGTACTAGGGAATGGAGATTATTGCAATAAAAACACAAAATACATGCATTTGTTTTCATTTTATATTTTATTCAAAATTTGTATTCTTTTTTTGTATCCAAGATATGTAAGATAAAATAGAAAAATAAAAATTCATAATAGGTTTTTCTAATTACTGTACATAAGCATTTTCTGAGTATAGAATGTCATCGATAAAATCTTAACTTGGATTCTGAATGACTGGAAGATAGTTGTACCTCTACAGAAGTAATTGTACACTTGTTTTCGTCAATCACAATATAAAATACATTTGTTGTTAAAAAGAAGTGTTTAATAAATATATTAAAATGTAACAAAATATGTATTCTTGAGTCAGTTATGTAAAAAATGCGTCAAAGTATTCAGTTTTGAGTAATTTATGTAAAAAATGGGTCAAGATATGTAAAATATGAATGATTCTAACTCTAGTGTGTCTTATAGACTCTAAAAAATATTGTTGAATTCAGGTATCTTGTTTCTAGAAAAATATGTGTAAGTGCAAAACTTTTAAAATTAATTTTAGCAACACAAGTTCAACAATTAAAATTGCATTTCATACAGTTTTAAATATCTCCCAACAATGAGAAGGAATTCTCAGAATTTTAAACTGCCAAATTGCAGCACAGTGTGGCCGCTATGTATTACAATCTAATATCTCGAGAAAGACTAGCAAATGAAGCAAGGAACCAATTTTAGTGACTCCCAAATATTAGTCGGGAATCTGTGGGTGCTTATGCAAGATACCTTTAATGATCCTATATTTGTCAATCATTTGTTTCTACTCATACCTTTAAATTGTAATTTTTAAAATAAATAAACATGAAAAAAATAATTATTGAAGTACTATTTTAATGTAGTAAATTGTAATTATTTTGTAAAAATGAGAAATCCATCTTCTAAGGAAGTCATTTTAATGAATTAGATTTTATCAAAAAAGTCTGTAAACCATTTTCAATGGGGATAGGATGATCATCAGCAATAATGGTTAGGGTTTTGTATGACCTATTAATAATGTGTAGAGGTTTTCTTTGTCATGGTGTGTGGATTGGTGGTGACTTGGAGAGTGAACCCTAATAGGTGATGTGGAAATTATTTGAATTGGAAGTGTTTTGAGAGAAAGAGCTTTGAGATTGACCAAACTCCTCTGAAGCTAGGCACCTACTGTTCCATTGTATTTACATGTCTTGAAATAATCATTTCTTTAGTACTGGAAAAACAAATTGAAACAATAATAGTATATTTTGTTTTAATACTATTAACAAGAAATTTTACAATTTAGTTTTAAAACTGCAAAGTTCAAATCAAACAAACTTCCTTTGCTAATGAGACTGTTGTATAATCATTTTGTTCCAGTGAAGTTGGAATTGCTCGTTTGGAATAGTATTTAAAAGAATGTAAAGAAAATTTGGCAGCTCAGTTTTGATGTTTGTACAGATTCCTTGTTAAATAATGCTCTTTATTACGTATTGATTTTGTGGTGTCAATTTTAGACATTGAACATTTTAGACATTCTTTTCCCTTTTTTGGCAATTAGATTTTTTCTAAGATTTATGAAAGGTGAAAAATTTCAAATTGAGTGTATCTTCAAAATCTTGAAACATGTTCATTTAAAATAAATGCTTTCATTACTTGGTAATGAAATGATTCATTTAATAGAATGTATATTTTCATTCACTTTCTTATTCAATTATTGTTCTCTTTAGTGATATTTCATTTTCTGGTGAGAATTCTATAAGTTATTTCTGAAACAAGTGGTAAAAATGGTACTTTTACCACGTGTGTCATACTATTTTTTAGACTGCTTTACTGACTTCATTTAATTTTATTCATTGATACAAATCGCTTAATGATGACATTAAGATCAGTAGTAGCTGATGTGGTCAGACACATTTTTTTTTTAAATTTATTTATTTATTTATTCAAAGATTCATCTGAACACTTCAGTATCATCTCACTTGTAGCAGTAGTAAAATTAAACCTTTAGAATGCTACCCTGTCTAAAAAAGAACCTCTTTTACTTTTGGCTGTCTAAAAAATATTTTTTAAAAGAATAACAAACACTACAAATGTTTATTTTCCATTGCATCATTAGGGAGACGTGTTTGGTAAATCAGATTCAATTAGTAATGGAAGCATTTTCAATTGGCAGGGATTGACTTGTGAACATGTTTTGTTATTTTGGTAAGTGTTCATATGTTGGAATGTAAATATGTATTTGATATCAATTTGGATATTCAGATAGCAATTTTGATTGTGATTATTTTAATTAATAGTAGTAATAATAATAACAATAATAATAATAATGATACTCTTTGCAGAATGTCAAAGCACTTGCACTTGGGTGATGTGTGTGGATTGTTGTGTAATGTCTGATATAAAATAACAAAGGGCGTGTAATTATATTAATGCTAATGTGAAATTGATATTGAATACTGAGAGTGCTGACAGATGAAAAAATAATTGCATGTCTGCCAGTGTTGTGGGGGGGAAAAGTTAAATGAGTTAAGCTAGAGAATATTTCACAGAATAATTAATTATTGAGAGATATTTCATCAGCAAAGGTATGTGACTTTTGATGCAGAGATTCATTGACTGATAATATTTTCAAACTGTGCTTATAACTCCTCAGTAGAGGAAACACATATAGAACTGTTCAATTCAAACTACAAAATAGTACTGGGCATTATCTTTCCATTTTTGATAGTCATACTATAAGAATTGGTTGATGCATTGAATTTTTACATACAAAATTTGTAATACCTTGAAGTGCATATGTAATTTTAACACAGTTTTGGATTATGAACTAGATCTCAGTGTGGGTAAAGTAGGATAATAATATAGTATATGTATATTATGTTTAATGAACCATAAAGACAGATTTTGTAATAACAGAAGCATTTTGGAAGCTTCATTACAAAGATAAAAACATTTATTTTCCTTTTTCCATTCCTTTCAACCCATTCGTGTTGTCATTAAAAGTAGCCTCGTTGTAAGTAGCTGCTGTGTTTGTTTTTGAAAAAGGGCTGAATTCTTGTTGAAGTGATGTTTTGTGTGATGTAAATATTGTGTGTTTGCTTGTTCTCACAGATTCTTCTAGGGGTGGAAACAGGGATTAATGTCACATGGTTTGCAGAAAAGTATTAGTCACTATAGCTTAGACTATAGCTTACTATTTAAAAAAAAGAAAGAAATAATGATCATAACTGCATTATTCTGAAAAACAATTAAATCATTTGACAAAAAAATAAATTTTCATATTTTGATGAGTATCTATTTAATACTCATTTTGTTTACAGGATATCATCCTCCTAATGAAGATATATTCAAATATCTGAGATATCAATGTGAAATATGTCAGAAGTTCTTTACTCGACGTGATCACTTAACAACTCACTTCAAGAACCTGCATGGGGAGGACGCTGGTCCTTTTTCATGCATAGTGTGTTCTCAGTTATACAAAAATGCTGATAGTTTGCGCAAACATATTGCAAAATATCATATTGCTCGGGCAGACAAGTCTTGATGTTTTTTGTTTATTTTATTAGTTTTGCAGTTTAAGATTGTTTTATCAAGATGTAGCTAATTTTTCTAATTGTTTCGATTTAGAGTTTAAGAATCAGTAACCAAAAGAGAGGCAAACTTTGTTGATTTTTATTAAAGAACAAAAATGTATTGTGATCTGATGAGATAAAAGGTCATGTTTGTACCTGATAATGTACATTTCTGAAGTTTTAGGAGATGCACCCCTTTTTTATGAAATTATTTCACCTGCAATGTCCATATAAATAAGTTCTAGTCAAATTGTTGGATTGCAAAATGTTGAATAGTTGAGAGAGAAAGAATTGAATTGCAGCATGGGGTAGATTGGCAAATGAGAGAGTTGTTAGTTACCTAAAAAATACACATTTTACCATTGTTAATATTACGTTCTTACTATTGTGAACTATCTTGCATTGTCTTTTTTGTGGTGTCAGATCTATCATAACATTTTTGTAATTTTAATTCTTTGCAAAGAAAAAAAAATTGCATTCATTAGTACATTTTGAACGAAGATAGATAACCTATCATAAATTTACCATTTGCAATAAATTTCAGTATTCAGTATTGTTACTTCACTTAAGAAAATGAAGTATTACATTTGGTTTATGTTTTTTGAAACTCTCTTTCCAATTGTGCCTTGCTCATTAGCATTATCATTGAGGGATAAAAAAAACTAATTAATTTTTTTTGATTTTAGAATGAGAGATGAAACTTGTGAAGTGAACATACCAATAAATGTGACAAACCATTTATAGAATTTTATTTGTGGCAAAAATAAATATTGGTTTTTTTAAATTTGTTTATTAAACATGATTGAGTTTTATCTTTTCTATACCTTTTGTTTTAGAACATTTTCAATACACTTCACATTAAACAAATATTTGCTAAAAGCTTCTGAAAGTACTGTTTAAAAAAATATTGTTGTTACTATTATTATTTATTATTGTTGTTACTATTATTAGTTAATGTAGAAAATATAAGTGTCTAGGCAAATAGTCTTTGAGTAAACGCAGATACTTAACGTCCTTAACCTTTAAAAGAAGACGTAACGTTGGCTGTGATGGAAATATAATCGCATTGATTACTTGGCTCTCCCTTTTGTGATTGCAGGTGGTGGTTATTTAACCTTGCACCATTTCACACCAAGTTCAATATCCCAGCAGGAATTTGCATGCAATTTATGTAACAAGACGTTCACTTGGAAGAAATCCTTACAAGAACATTTTCAGAACATTCACGGCTACCTTCAGGGCCCGTTTCCTTGTCCTCAATGTGGCAAGTTATCAAAGAATCGGAAGAGCTTGGCTTCCCATTTATATCTCCATAGGAAAGAAAGAACTGCATCGTCACGTCACGATGCCTCCTAAATGAGTTGCTTTTCTCCCTTTTTTTATGAAGAATGTGATTATGAAGAATCATACCATTGTGTGGTTGCATAGAAATTGTTGTATGGCTTGTTAATTTTCTTCTTTAATTTATTTTCGTACATGTAATATACATGTGGGTAGTAATTGTATCGATATCAATGAAGGTTCATTTCCTTCAGAAAAAAAGCAGGTCGATTTAATTTGAATTCTATATGTGAATCTAGAAATTTACTTCTTAGGAACATCATCTACGAATAGTATTTTTGTTTCATTGCCACAATTCTTCAGGATTTTGCTGATTATAGGAGTTTTTTTAATGAAGCTTCTTACATAGCGTGTATATCAGAATAGTAAGAAATAAACTTTTGTCCCTTTCTTCATAATGTTGAGATCAGATTCATTCTTAATCATATCATATGAAATTGACCTTCTTTATTATATGATTTTCGTTATATGATGTAGATACCAAATATTGCAATATACATTAAAGTAAAGAAACTGCAAACATTAAACCAAAGTAAGTTTTGAAAATTAACTACAAATATTTTTTTATGTATTTTTATATCAAATAAAAATTTTTAATAAACAATATTCTTGAGTTTTGAAATTCTTCAACATTTCCTGTGTTCTTGAAAGCGAAGAAACAACACTCCTTTCTTCATATTTCTAAGATGAAGTGTAACTGTTAAATCAGATACTTTGTGATTACAGGTGGTGGAAAACAAACTGTGGAGCGAGTAGGGCCTTTAGCATCCAATGCACAGCCTCCCAAGGAGTTTGTGTGTAGTGTCTGTGGCAAGAATTTCATTCGAAAGGGGAGTTTGCATGCTCATTTTCAGAACATTCACGGAATTCTTCAGGGCCCATTTCCTTGTGGACTCTGTGGCAGCTTGTTGAAAAACAAGAAGAGTCTGGACACTCACATGTTGAGTCACAAGAAGAACTTGTTCAAACATTGAAGTGGTTCATGAAAAACAGACAGATACTTTGTGTGAACTACATTCAACTAGGGGAAATAATTATTATAGAAGTGTAATATGTTTGCTGTAAATTATTTCTTCATTTTAATTTGAATATCATTTATGCTCGGAAGAAGGAATGACTGGAACTCTTCTTTCCACTGAATGTTTTGCTAGCCTGAGGAGGAGCAGTGCCTCCATTTGAATGCAGTCGCAACTATGTAATAAGAATATTGACTGGTCTGTTTGCAGTGATGTGCACTGTTAGCTCTCGTGGCCGCTGCAAGCTGATGGCTGACGGCTACTTGTACACTTGCCACCGCATCTATCGCTCGAGTGTTGAATGGAGATGCGAGCGCCGTAACTGTTGTGCTCGTCGCAAGTTTGACGCATCAGGTGCTTTAGTGAAGCTGACAAGGCATACTCATCCTCCAGACGAAAATCGTTGGGCACGCGCCATGCAAATGCGTCACTTTGTTAGCATCCATTCAATCCTATCCCAGACACGTGTGCCGGAAGCCCCTGGAGGTTCATAGGTTCAGAAGACTTTCTGCATCTTCGAACTTGGGAACTGAAGTTGTAGAAAATAACTTTCAAATAAATTTGTTCCAAGTGCTTGTTTTATAGTTTTCTTATTTTTAGAACATATGTTCTTAAGAACATGATAATGGTCAATAAATAATTAAATGTAGCCATTGAGAATAAAAATTGATTAACTTAATTGCTTATCTTAAAAATCTGGATTGCATTAAAAATATGGTCATTTAAACAGATTATGCAGACTCAAAATGGGAATTCATTTGCTACTTATCATGTTCATAAGATTTTGAGCTGCAGTATTTAAGTTTATTGGTAAATTTTGTACATATGAAACAAAGTAATTACCTTAAAGAAGTGTTTTTTTAACACATTTGCTATTATTAATGTGTTCTAATGTATTAAAGTTGGGTTCTACTAAAGGTAGAACATTAATTTTAGCAATGGAAGAGTATGTGTGTATATCTATATCTATATATAATATATATTCTTCCATTGCTAAAATTAATATTCTACCTTTAGTAGAATAAAACTTTCCTTCCTTTTCATATTCATAATAAACAGTATTGATTACACTGTGTTCTAGAAGTTAGTTTTCAAGCCTGCTGTTCAGCAGTTTAATGACATTTAAGATTTATTTTGTTTTACAATGGAACTTGGTGTTTATGCTTTCTAGTCTGAGATATTTTTTTCTTCAGAATCACTTCACCAAGTTTGAGTAATCAATGTTGTTCATTGTGTCCATTGTCAACTGTAACACTGAACAATTAGGTAGACTTAATTATATTCCGAAGGACCAATGACTATGCAAACGTCATTGCAAACGACCTTGCATTGAATTACAGAAAAAATTGAGAAGTAATTTGTATATAGTATTTGAGAGGTTATGTCATGCTGGTGTTTGAATGGTGCATCGGAAAGAAATTATTAATTATGTGAAAGTGTTTCTGCTGTGGGTATTACTGCTTGTTTAGGATACTAATGTGCTTAAAATCAATGAAGTTTTATTATTCTTCAATTCATTTTGTAATGTATGAAGAGAAATTTAATTTTCCTTGAAATGTTTTTGGGGCAGGTTCTGGTCTGAATGTATGAATCATATCATACTTCTTATTTAATTTGCATTTCATATTTTCTTTGCTAAAATTACTTGAAAAATACGCTAGGTGCTTGCCTCAAGTGAGAGAACATATTTATTTGGAATTTAAAACAAATAATGCAAGAATTTTGTAGTAAGGTTGGTAAATAGTCAAAGCAGAAGCATATTGGAGATGAAAATGATATATGTTAGAAGTGTACAACTCTACATTCAAGATATTAATAATCCATAAAATTAAAAGAATATAGGCCACAGAAATACAAATGTCTTAAAATAATGAATGGAAATAAAGCCTATTACATAAATATAATTACTTGCAGATACCATCCTACACAATTGTTGATAGAAGTGATGAGTGTAATATTACGGTGTATGCAGAATTAGCGTTTATTTTCGCTTTGAGTGAACATTTTTCTCAAGTCTTACTGATGAGGTGTAAATAATATGTTCAGTATGTATTTCATTTTTTGTGCAGGAGTAAAAATTGATACTATTCTGAATTTTTTGACCTTTTATTTTCAGTTCGAAAAAAATTATAGAATTAGTGAAGAAAAATTCTTTTTTCAAGATTCTCTCTGTTATTACAAAGTTAGAGTATGAATCAATGATTTAATTTTGGATTTTGGTAAATTGAGAAAACTTTTAAGTTGTTACAATGTAGCCTGAGTTGTAGTACATAATTCTTTAAATTACATGACCCAAAGTATTGTGGAGGTTTGTGTATTGTACCACCATATATTTAATGCTTTGCTTCCTTAATTTATTTATTTATTTATTTATTATTAATGAATTGTAAATCTGAAGTGTCTTTTATATGCCATGATGTGAAATTGGGAGTAGAATGTAAGAGATTGAGCTGAAATAAAGTTTTGATAAGATTATATATTTTCTTGTGGTCTAGCTTTCACCATTTCCAAATTAGAACCTCTGTGTAAGTTTAAATGTGAATATGACTTGCAGGTATGGGCCCTGCTTTGTGAGAGAGAGTGATAACTTATCAAGTACTTAATCACTTTACCCTGTTGGTGTGAAAAGATGTTGAATTCAGTTTTGTTGTGTTTCAGCTGGTGAGCATCCATTTACTTGCCCGCATTGTGAGAAACCCTTCCAGTTTCCGGACAGCCTTAAAAAACATATTGCTAACATTCATGGTGAAAATCAAGGCCCCTTCGTTTGCCACTTGTGCCACAGAATAATGAAGAACAAGAATAGCATGAACACACATCTGTACAACTATCACAGTGGGAAGTATGTCTTTATGCAGGCCTAACACAAGCTGCATTGCTGTGTGGATCTCACCATTTCTTAACTGTTGTTAGTGTTTATGGTTTTCTGTTCTCTTTGCAGGGGTCGAAGACGCATGAATCTTGTACAAAACACAAGCACAGCGCATGTAAGGATGATAGTATTCAAAGTAGCTACATACAATTTCATTTGTGTTTCTTTATCATTGATGCTGTATAGTAGCTTTGGATTTTTACAACTACAAGGAGTTGTAATTTATTTACTGGGATTTTAAATTTTGTGAAAAATATGTAATTCCTTCCATTGTTAACTGAGTAAAATGAGTATGGAGGATTAAAAATGTTTTGTTTTGAATTATGTGTCAATTTTTCGCAGTTTATAACAGAGTATTTCTTACATTAACTTAATCATTGCTCTTTTTGAAATGTATATTTTTGTAGAATTTACACATATAATTGTTTGGTAAAAAATAAAATCTGTCCTTTTTCCAATGCTTCTGCATCCTTAGTCCACTTGGAAGAATTTTACAGGTTTGCTCTGTGTTGTGTGTGTGCGCAGGCTCCATCAGCTGGAGTGCTTCTGACCGCAATGTCAGATGTCCCCAATGCCCTCGGGTGTTCTCGTACTACTCCAATCTGAAGGTGCACATTCGAGATGCGCACACAGGACCCCAACACTTCGTCTGCCACGTTTGTGGGCGCCACGTCAAGAACTACAGCTGCTTGCGTGTACATCTTTATCGCAGACATCAGTTTCGCAATGCCAAAGTTGCTGATCCAAAGGAACAAACAGACTCCACTGGGTTTCTTCACAAATAGAGTTGTGTGTACTTTTAAAAGACATGAAAATGTGTAAAGAAGAAATAAGACTTTGAGGGATACAAGGGCCAAAGACTGTTTTGTCAAAATAAATGGAAAATTTAAAGAATCTTTTCAAATTATATACTTTGAATTTTTTTAATATATTTCTTTTTCACTGGCTGTTATTTTGCAAAGGTGAGATAAGTTAATTAAATTATTCAAAAATGAAGTGAATGAAAACTTTTATGTAGGCAGAATCATTTATTTTGTGTCTTGGTACAAGTGTTATATGTTTGTCATTTAAAGTGCTGCAGAAAGAAAATGGTCATACATTGAGCATACCTAGCTAGCTACAAACGTAATAAATAATAGTATCTAATGAAATGAAGTATATTTGTATTAGTCTTATATCAGGCTATGCATGAATTAGGTGCTTGTGACCTGTGCAATAAAAGATGTTTAACAGCCTCTTATGCCAACGTGAATTATCATTAGATGTTTCAGAGTTTTTTCTTTCTTTCTGAAAAGGTCATTATTGAATATCTACATCTATATTAAACTGTTTTATTTGTATCATTGCTTTTAGAAAAAATGAAATGTCAATTTCCAATCTGCATTTTTTAATTATATAATTTAGTAATGGTTGTAGAGATTGCTGAACAATGAATAGAGAGAAAAATTATAAAATGTAAGTGACAATATTTTGTTATCTGATAAAATAGTATTTTACATTTCTTTTGTAATTTATTAACGACTTTGACTAAAATTTGTTTACAAATGTCTCCAAAATAAATATTGTATGGTCTTTTTTTTCATTTTTTTTTTTTTTTAACAATTATGTGAATAAAAGTCTTTTAAAGAGTCTGTACTTACTGTAATTGTACTTAGCTGTTAAGGAAAAAACCACATTTTCTCCTTGTGTTTATATTATATACCCAAGAGATACATCAGCTCTTTAGCACGAATTGTATGATGAACATTACCAATTTTACACTAATTGTGGTCTATTTGTTATTAGTTCATTTCGAACTAGAAAACCCCCCTGTTGGATGGATGTTTTCCTTTACTCTATGGCGTTTTCTGTATGTGCAGTGGAGATCCGAGCTGTAGCAGCCCAGGACATTTGGTGTCCCCTGTGTGAGCGGTTCTTTGTCAACAAATTTAACTTGAAAGTGCACATGCGGGACGTGCACAGTTCTGCGCAGAGCCCCCTTCTTTGTCCCTTGTGCTCTCGTCAGGTGAAGAACCGAAGTTCTCTGCGCGTCCATCTGTACCAGCAGCATCGAAAGAAGTCTGTGATGGGTGCTTCGTTTGTAGCTCAGTGAGCTTGCCTCAATTGGTGGACTAAAGCAGTGCAAGTTCGCTGTTTGTTTTCTTACGCAAATGTGAAGTTGTCCTAATTTATTATTTTTATTATGCAAATCTATTCAGCATTGTTTATTGTATTTTCATGCAGTGTATCACTGTACAGTAATGTAAAATTTAATTTAATAGTTTGCTTAGCAAATTTGCTCTAATATCATACATTATCATGGTATGTTACGAATGTTTTTCCAAATGATTTTTTTTTGGTAACATTGTTTTCCAAACAATTTTTTTAAGGTAATTCTTTGTATATAAAAACGATAGTTGTATTCTTTATTTATAAAGAATTTTTTTAATGTAAATTATATCAATTAGATAAAATGTGATTTATATTTGGTATTGTAAGTGTAACAAAGTAAAAAGTAAAGGAGTTTTATAAGCTATGTGATCACTAACAATTTTAAAAAGTAAGCTTCAGTGCATTATTTAATTTAAACACAATTGGATATAAAAAGTTGTGAACATGTAAAGACTTTTACATAGGAATGAAAACTTCTACAAATTGTTTTAAGATAGATTTCTTCCAATTTTTATTCCACATAGTGCCAGAGAAAGTGGGTAGTAAAGCTCATATATTGAGTAGGATATCGGTTTTGCAAATTTTTTAAACACAACAAAATAACATGTAAAACGAAAATGCATATTCACGTCATTGTGCTGACCTGGTAATAGAAGATGCTGTAGGTTGAAATGCTGACCACCTAGCTTTATCCAAAAGATGCAGATTATTACTGTGTAGGTACTAATATAACTTAAACTTTGCTAATGAAGAAAGCACTGTAAGACCATCGTAGTGTTAAGGTAACAAAAGAGGATCAGAATGTAGTATTAAGACCTTTTAAAATGATTTTGCTTTGAAGCAATTTAACATTAATTATTGTTCATTTTGTTGCTTGACATTTAACCTCAATTTTTTTTTCTGTTCATTTCTATCTTTTTGTCTTATTCTTTCACAACCCCATTTATGTTTATTATAATAATTTTGATTCTTGTAATGATTACTGAGCGCATAATAACATTTACTGTAACAAAACTGAGCAAATCAATTTAGATACTCCCAATTTTTTATTATTTGTAATGTGTGACTTGTAAAGTGAAGAACAGTGTTACGATTATTACTAGTTAATTTATAAAATCATTATTTACATTTTCTGAATAAAAGTCAGGCGATCTGAAAGAGTGCTAAATTCGTTTTTTTTTTTACATACATGCCCTCATGACCTAATTGATATGTGGGAGTGTTACTTTTATGATCAATATCTACATTTCAGAATTATTAAACACAATTAAATTAAGCATGATAAAATTAATTTACTTATATGTTCATGAAACATGTTTGGGGTTGAACATTATAAGAAAGAACATTTATTTTGCAGTACAGCAGTGTTTAATGTGTAGCAGGAGTTGAATCTTCTCCGAGAAAATATGTTGAAGAGGAAATGTACTGTGTAGTATTTGTTTGTTGTTGCCTTTATTTACATGTTTGTGGATCAAACCAGTTCCTAAACTGAATTTATATTTTGTTGCCGTTTGTGTTTCATAAGAGCTTGTTACGTTACTACAAATGCCCCAACTATATCCATTTTCTTTAATACCTTAGCATTAGGATATATTCTAGATTGAACTTCCGTAATTCTTCCAATAGGTCCCCTTCTACATCAGGATTGTCTGCCCCAATTCGCATTGCAATTTCTGCGCAATTTGAATGAAAATACACTTTCTTCATTGTGACTGGCAAAGATGGCACAGCGTCAGCGGAAGTCACTGCAATGCCTTTGGCCGAGAGTCCCGAGGTTTCCCCTTCCGACGGTGGCAAGACTTTCAACACTACCACATTTCTAGGTCGATTTCAGCTGCTGTGTGTAGGAGAAATCTAGCGGCCGGCTGCTCTGATGGGCAGTTTTTCGTGATTTCTCCGATCAACACCAGAGAATGCCGGAGCAGAACCGTTAAAAAACCGTGAACCACCGCGGACCACGTACCGCACGCGATCTTTCCTATATATATATA